ACTTTCTACATGCACAGTTCAGTGACAGCGACTACGCTCTTCCAACTGTGCTGCTATTCTCACTTTAGATGAAGGCTTACAGAACAAAACAGTTTCTCATTTAACAGTACACATGTTGCCCTATGACAATGGTTAACAACCTCACAACACATCAACACTATCCTTACTCAACCTTGGGTTCCCTATCACCAGCCTCCTTGTCCCCTACTGTGAAAAGGCCACATCTTTTAAGATTCCAACTATATGACATTCTGGAAAAGGCAAAACTATAGAGACAGTAAAAAGATCTGTGGTTGCCAGGGGGAAGAGGGTGGGGGGAGTGGGGGAAGGATAAATCGGTGAAGCACAGGAGATTTTTAGGACAGTGAAACTATTTTGTACGATACTACAATGGTGGAAACAAGACATTATGCATTTGTCAAAAGCCATTTAAAAAAAAAACCAAACTCATTGCCAACGAGTCAATTCCAACTCATAGCGACCCTATAGGACAGAGCAGAAATGCCCCACAGGGTTTTCCAAGGAGCAGCTGGTGGATTAAGACTGTCAGCCTTTTGCGTAGCAGCTGAGCTCTTTAACCACTGTGCCCCTAGGGCTCCACTGGTTCATGAATTACAACAAATGAGCCACACCAATGCAAGACGTTAATACAGTGAAACCTGTGAGAGCCAGAACAACGGGACTGGCCTGTTTTTCCAGGTCTCACATGTTTTCCACCTTTGACAGGGTGCAGTCTTAACATTTTTCTATCACTCTCTATTAGTGGAAAATATCTGTGTTTTCCTTCTCTGACAGGTTTCCGTCATACACAGGTTCCAGCTTTTGCAGGTTTTACTGTAATAGGAAACTGTGAGGTGTGGGAGATGGGGAGGTACATGAAAGCTGTCTGTATCTTCTGCTCAACTTTTCTGTTGAGGATCTATTCTGACTTTATTGTTTAAGGTAGGACCCAGACATATTACTTGTAAAAAGTTTTCCAGGATTTAGAACAGTAGTTCTCAAAATATGGAGTGTGGTTCTCAGACAAAAACAGCATCGGCATAACCTGGAAGCTTGTTAGAAATGCACATTCTCCAGCCCACTACATACTATGGAGTCAGAACCTCTGGCGGTGGGGTCCAGCAATCTGTTTTAAGAAGCCATCCAGGTTATTCTGATGTCTACTCAAGTTTGAGAACCACTGACCAAGACTATGAGCTTCCAGAAAAGTTTTCCGCTATTTTCTCCATGAAATCTAGCAAAATGCTTTGTAAATAGTCATATCTCAATAAATGCTTGCTGAATTTGATCTGTCAGTGAATACAGGCAGAAATGACCACTGAGGCACTTGGAAATGATAAACTACTCCAAAGACATCAGTTAAAGCACCATTCTGAGTTTTCAAACAGAAAAGAAATTCTATTTTGAAAGCAATGAAAAAGTCAGATTACTCAGGTTAGTAAAACCACCGTTGTCCTAAAAGACAGCACATATCTGCTTACAGTTTGTTAAGGCACTGTCAATCGAAAATACGCTGTAACTTATGCAAACTCTCAGACTGGTGTTAAAAATAAATTCTGTGGTCCTGGGAAGCAACGCACAGTGATTAAAAAGCCCTGCTGTGTGCATCATGAAGATTCTGCTTAGAGAATACAGCATTCATGTGGTTGTAATGTGGGCCAGGTTTGATGAGGGTGGCCAGATTTTTAAAAAACATCCTCTAGGTGTCATTTGGGGAGACAAAGCTCCTGCAATGAGAATGAGCTGATGACCGATTTGCCTACTGAGTAGAAAATGAAACAAATAAATCCATTTTTATGCAACTGTTTTCTACCTTGAGAAGTTAAACTGCTGAAGATACTCTTGGATTCAGGGTATCATCCCAGTCTCACCACATACCTTTTCTAATTGGCACCCTGAAAGATTTCACAGGAAACGGGTGTTACTTTGGTATGGTTGATTTAAAGGTTATCTAGTCACAGTGAGGCACAGAATTCATCTTCAAAATTCAACTCCTTATGAAGTGTCTTGGCAATTAACAATTCCTATCACCTCCAGCCGTTCCCTATGTGAGAAGGCTCAGAACTCGCTTTACAAATTGCTCTTCTGAAGATCAAAGGGAAGCTGAATGTGTCTGTGTGTGCTCTCGATGAGACTGTAATTTAATGGAATTTTTAGAGAAGGCTCCACTGGCAGTGCTTGGATGACAGCCCTGGGGCGGAGGATTCAGGGAAGCTTGGCCACTCTTCCCTCTGGAGCATCTTCCCTGCCTTTAATTGGCGCCTCATTAGAAATTAATGAAAATGACATCCTCTGTTCTTCCTGCTCTAGGCATCGAATGCTACAAAAAGGCCCATCACAATTCATAACACATTCAATTTATATAGCAATGGCTCTTAAGCATTATTTATGAGATGTGAATTTCTTGTCAGCAACTAATAACCTGTACAGAGTGGAAGGGGAATGGAAGAAAAGACTGTGAAAAGAAAAAAAAAACAAAATATATATATATGTTTTTTTTTTCCTACAGTAGAGAAGTGCTCTGAGTTCAAACTACCTTTCTGAGCCTTCACTTTCAGTAGTAAATTACTGTGTTTCCCCCCTCTAAAACCTTTTAGGGCAGTTAAATGTCCCTCCAACAGTCCATGCATCCTCAAGGAAACAGGCTACACATCTCTCCCTTTCCTAGAGAGATCCAAGCAGACAGGCAGGAGGAACATAAGAGCTATTTGTCAAAGACAGTCCCAGAGGTGTATGTTCCCACTGCTGTCCTTCATCTTTTAAAGTACAGCAGTTGACTCAGTCATTTCTTCAGGGCACATAAGTGTAATGCTCTTAGTGGGCCAAACTGAACTCCCAGTTGTCTCTACGAAGGCTACATCTGGAGATTAGAGAAAGCTCAGCGTCTTTTTTTTTTTTTTTTAGTCTTCCCCAGGAGAAAAGTCAAATCTCCCTAACAACCAGACCCTCAGAATTAGGCATAAGCCAAAGGACTACATGTTAGATCATTTAAAAAGAATGCATGTCTGTGGTGAACCCAAAGTAATAGCTGTCTAGAAATCTAGCCTCCTACACAAGAGGGTGAAGAGCACAAGAGTTAAGTCGGCTTCACTTAGAGAAATGAAGTCATCTAACATGTATTTCTAGATTCTTTCAGCTGGGCACTAAGACCTAGGAAATTAGGTGGTTTGCATCAAAGCTGAAGGGTAAACTGAGAGACTTGGTTACAACACTGCTGGGTCTTACAGCACTAAATTGTGAATTCTCATTGCTTGCCTGACAAGGAAAAGTGGTATTAGCCACTGCCAGAGGCAAGAGAGCACACTTGATGGACCAATTACTTGATCCACCATGGCAAATCCTGTGTAATACCCAGGATTCAGTTACTCTCAAGATGGAAACAAGAACATAAGACAGAAGCAAATCTCATGATTCTAATTTAGGAACCAAAGGCTTGTGTTAAGAAAGCAACAGGCAAAATGGCCAGGCAGGCTTCACAATGCTGGTAACAGAGTAAACCGCTAAACTCCCCGACAGTTCAAATGAAGACCAAAGCAAGAATGAGCAGACCACAGAAGATCAGACAAATCCTTCAGCCTGGAGGGAGTTGGTTAGCCTCAGACGCCAGTTTCCTTGGCCCAGCACAGTATCCCTGCCCTACACCTCACCAAGAATTCTAACTTACCTTGCAGTGTTCTCCTACTTGATCAAAATATAGCCTAAGAATAAGGTCCTGGACTCACCTGACTCATAATGAACACAACTGACGTCTGAAAACTGTTGAGGGCCTCTGCTCCCACTTCTTACTCTAGCCTCCTTCTTTGCACTTTCTCACAAGCATTTAATAGTATAAAAAAAAGTCAAGCTAAAAAAATAAGACACCTGGACTCCCTATGCTGGTACCTGTTTCTTCAGCTGAACAACTCTAATCTTGTTGAGCACCACACACACAAGAGTGTGTTCATGACAGCAACAGGAGTTCTCGAAACTCCCTCCCTTCCCTCCTCATTTCTAACAGGGCAGCAAAGGTTGTCTCTTAAGAAGACGGAGGACTTTCAGTGACTGCAGCGTTATAACTGCTGAGCAAACTATCTAGTCCTGACTGCTAGTAACAGTACTTGTACGGTATCATGGCTATCCCAAAGGTGAAAGGGTCTTCCAAAACTTACTACTCCTCAGGATGAAGGATACATAGCTCTGAGAGGCTAGAGCCAGGTCTCAAAGTTGAACTGATGACAATCTGATGCCACAGAACAATCTGATAACACTATGCTTTAAATTAGGAAATAGAGACAAGGACAGGAAAACTGTAAGGCAGCCTAACATAACGCAGCTACACAATTTTGCTCCTATGTGACACGATACATGTGGTCAAAGAGAGAGGAAGAATTGGCCTAAGTTTTGTTCTGCTGTGGGTAGGCATAAAGTTTTTAAAAACACATCCCTGTGCAGCAATTCTAAGAGTCTGTATTACATTGGCGGATACAGAAAGAAAGGTTAGAAGTTATTTCTAAGGTGTTAACTGACTGGATGAACTATGGTTCAAAGAAAATAATTTTCTAATCAAACTTTAATTTAAAAGGGATGTGGGGGAGAAATCTTTCATTTATCATAAATAGTAAGAAACTCATTCCAATTTAATTTAATATCTGAATTTTATGGTACATATCCCAGAATTTAGCTGGTTTGGTTAATTTCTACATAAGTCATCAATGGCAAGGAACCAGAGTAATACGTGGTGGGGAGAAGTTGAAAGCACTGACCAGTGACAATATAACTCTAAAGAAACATGTGTAAGAGTAGCTGGGGATGTCTTTACCTCTTTTCTATATGTGAGAGGAAATGAAGGATGTTAAGAAGCAAGAATCCTCCACTCCTGATGTCTCAAGCTCCAGACATACAGCTTCAGTGAGGTGCTCAGGAGGAGAATGAAGGGCTTCAGCCTCTTAGGAATACTTCACAAAATGGTGTCCGAGTGGCAAGGTCACAATCTCTATCATGCCACTAGGGGAGATGCTTACCGCAGCGACACGATCCCAATTCCTGCTGCACCAGCTCCAGTTTGGTTTGGCACTGGAAACACCGACGTCGACTCTTCTGTTTAGATCGACTGGTTTCCTCGGACCGTTCGGGATTCTCCAGTAGTCGTGGCCGTTTCACTGGCGAAGCTTCATTCTCAGAGTGTGAATCTGACCAAAACAACACATTTGGGGACCATGGTTAGTGCCGGGCCTGGCAAGCACAGCTGGTCAGTGTACTGCCAGGCATTCTCCCAACTGGGCTACTGCCCTTTTCGAGGAACTGGACCTGTGTGAGCAAGAGAACAAGTTCTGGCCCCACTGAACAAAGGCTGACTTCTAACAAGCTAGTCCTGAGCTTGGAGAGGAGACTATTCCAGCTGGAGGTGGAACTCTCTCTTTGTCTGTACCCCTTCATTGGGTCCTAGCTGTTTACTGCTTGTATTCGTTATTTACTTCTTGGGGATTTGCTTGTCTTCAAGTAGACTGTAATTTCTTAGAGAAGGGACTATGTCTAATGTTTCTTTATATCACCATGCTTAGCACAATTACGCACCCAAAGCCAGTACTTGATAGATGATCTCTAGCAGAAATACTCATATTTTTACTCCTAAACACAACTAAACACATAGAAACTAAGTCCTAAAATTAAAAATTATCCCAACTTCACTGAGAAGTGAAGGACTATCTGCTTGTTCACAAGGAAGCTGCCCCACGGCCTCCACTGTGGGGTGGAACAGACGCAGCACTGAGCACCACAAACCTAGGGCTGATGCCAAGTTGGCAGGTGGAAGGAGATGTAGTATGTGACAACTGTTGATTTTTGTAACCTTAAGAAATATATATCTAAAATGCAAAAAATTTCATGTCACAGGCAGGCTCTAAATAGCTCTTACCTTCAAAACAAAGGCAGCACTTGGGGGCTGTATTTCTGGAAGAGCCACCACTACATACTGAGGATATACCTCTTGCCAAGGTTCCAAAAGTGGTTTGTACTAAACCACCTCTAGAAGGGAATCTCTAAACAGTCTTCAAAATGCACCTAGAAACCACCACTTCTCACCACCTCAACTACCACCACTCTTGTCCAAGCCATCACCATCTTATCCACCTAGTACAATAGTCTCTTAACTGGTATCCCTGCTTACGCCCTTGCCCCTAGAGTCTCTTCTCCACACAGCAGCACAAGTAATCCCGTTAAGAATCAAGTTAGAACCAAGTCACTTCCGTGATCAAAACCCTCCAACAGCTCCCCACCTCGAGTAAAAGTCTAAATATTTACTATGAACCTCAAAAGGCCCCGTATGATTTGCCCCTCCCCCTTTCCCCACTAATCTGTCTTACCTCTTTCTCTTGCAATTTCCTCCCTATGCTCTACCCACACTAGCCTCCTTACTGCCTCCCACCTTGGGGCCTTTGCACCTTCTGTTCCCTCTGTCTAGAAGACTCTTCACTCACATCTACATGGGATCTCACCTCTTTTAAGTCTTTGCTCTAAAGTCACATTTTCAATGAAGCCTTCTTCCCTGATGACCCTGTCTAGGCATGTGGTTTCTATTCTTCCATAGTACTTATCTTTTAACAGGTCCCCCAGGAGAACGGAAGCTCCAGGCAGACAGAAGTTTTGCCTGTTTTGTTCACTGGTGTGTCCTCCATGCCTACAACTCAATAAGTATTTCTTGAATGAATATATCTTCTCTTAAGCAATCCTGATTCTCTTTTTAAAGTGGCTCTTGTAAGAAGCAGCAACCAGCTGGATGTACTTTAGTGAAGACTGTGTATTCCTTTCCCCAGTCTCCCTTTGTGTGAGAAAGATGCTGCACTTCACCAAGAGCCCCCACTGGCCCCGACACCGGGGATGGAAAGGTTTTTTTACAGTTCCCCAACTCAACGGCATTGTGCACTGACACACAGAGGGCATGCAGCATTCTTAGCAATTGCAAACTTCATTTTTCATCTCATTTAATTCTTCCAGTCCTACATGACATTTTCCCCCGAATACAAACCAACTAAACAAGGCCTTTGATGAAAACAATTGAAAGCAAGTTCAGCCTATTTCCCAGCTCTGCTGAGGGAAGCTGTTCAGATTCAGTTTGTGTGGCGACTAAAGCAGTCACAGACATGCCAGGCCCCCTCCCCCTTACTGTACAAGGGCAACAATCTAAATGTAAATGATTACGAAGCAGCCAGCCGAAAAGAACTCACCTTGTATGAACCACACATTGCTCTACAGGGGGTCCTTTTTCAAAAAACAATGGACTATTTGTATTAATAACCTTATTTAGATATACTTTTTTTTTTTTTTTGGTAACAAGAACAGATAATCCTAGAGCAAAAGCTGTAACAAAAAAACAATGCTTGTTCTGAGATAAGGTCCTAAATCTGGAGCATCCTTCTAAAAAACCCCACGCACGCCCAGAGGGTGCCCGTGGGGTGTATGTGTGTGTCCTACACAACAGAGGGAGCTAGGTGAAGCCTTCTTATTATTGATATTGTTAAAATGTGGAGGGCCCTGACATGATGCCAGCACACCTCTAAGGCAAAAAGGACCACTCAGACCCCAAGTCTCTTTCATTTACACCACTAGCTGATAAAACAGTGTGTCTGGAAATGTGGAGTTCGCATTCAAAGCTCTTTTCCACTTGAGTCTGTTCATCAAATCATTAAACATGCTGTTGACCTGCACAGCACCCTCCCGTTTCCAAAGCAAACCTTTACTGCAAGGAGGAGCTAACTATTTTCAAATATGCAAGGGAATAACATATAAAGAAAAAAAAAATTTTTTAATGTATCATTCCTATTATTGGAACATAGCATTCATATTTATAAAACTGTAATCACTGGTTATCACCAAACAACCCATTTGCTGAGACCCCAAAATGTTAGGCCACCAGCCTAGCCTTGACTTCTTTTCCTCTAATTCACTACCTAATCTGATGAAAGAGTATTCCATCACAACACACGGCCTATGCTGAGATCCACAACTTTTAAGCTCTGGAATATGCCTGCTTACCCTTTACTCAGCTGATGGTCTATTAGATGGAAAGAAATTGTGCCCCCTAATACCCCCTACCCCAGAGAGAGATGGAAAAAGAGCTCCCTGGACTGTTTACAATCCTCTACACAATGCCATCGAGGAAGGTGAATGTGTTTTATATAACTTCTTGGTGAAGCAAACTATTCTTTGGCATTTTCTCACAAGTCAACTTAGTGTTTTAATTAGAAGTTCATGAAATAAATAGCGGTCTGCAGGATCATCGTTATGTCTGCATAAGAAATTTACATCTTCTCTGCTAATTACTTAATGAAACCTTGCGCCATCAGGTGAGTTGCCTAAATGAGAGTAACAGATGCCCAGGAAAGGAATTCTAATTATACAATAATGAACTAAATAATTCAACTATTAAATTATAAATTTTATGTCTATTAGAAAAGGTCTATCAGAAAGAAAAGACTCAAACATGGCCAGCATTAAAGGAATCCTCATGCCATACATTTTTTAATAAACTAAACTTTATTTACTTTTTGCTCACAAATCTCATTCCTTTTACCCTGAAGCATTTTCAATTTCCTGAACAATGAAGGGACGTACCCAACAGTCTACCTGCATAATTTGAACTTGGGCAGTAAGGGTTAAGTGTGGAGAGAAAGGTGAACTGAAATAACTTATATGCAGCTTTAACTGTCAGAAGAAATGAGTCCTTGCAAGGAGCATGCTCATTAGCAGCAGGAGGAACTGTAGTGGCAAGCTAGAAATTGTTCCCACCCCAGGAGTTAAGAGTAGCTTCTAATTAAGGTCCTTCATAAAGGGCCAACAAAGCAGTTTTTTTCCGCAGTATGCTTTTTCTTGAGAACATGATCTTGAGTCTGGATATACCCATACAAGAGCGGCCACACTCCCATGCCAGATTCCGTTTTTGGTACTCACCAGACCCCCCTCCTCACAGCCAATATTTAACAGAATGAGAAAGATATCACATCCGATCTTCAAGTCAAAGGAAAGTCTGATGAAGAATAATGATGTGATTAAATGAGGAAAGGAAGTTTTAAGAAAAAGTATTTTACCTATTAGCTCTATAGATTTAACGGTAACCACTGCTTAGTTTATGACAGAGAAACCGGTGCAGTAATTTTAAACATACAATCTTTTGAAGACTAAAATTCTTCTAATTGTACTTTTCTAGCCAATCGCAGAAAGTAGTGGTAGGACTTTCAGTTTAGGAACACAGTTTAACTGGAAAGCTTGACTGGAGACAACAAACAGAGCTACTTCTTTTAAAATTCTGTTTTGTCTCTGACAGAAATTCACTTTTGTTCCTTGCTGTCACTGTTCTTGTCTTTATTACTCATGTTCTCTCTCCAAAATTTCCAGATAAATTGCATCAGGTCTGTCAAAGTTGAATCCCAATCTTAATCTCCCATCAGTGTGCAGCTGGCAGCCTGCACACACCCAGGGCTGCTAACCATGACTGTGGCCTTCTGACATCTCAGGCCAGCTCGTAGCCCTCTGTACAAGCCAACTCTCACAATTTAGAATAGTAGAGTGGGAGAAGCAAAGTGGCAACAAAGAGAAGGAAGCCTTCCTTTATTTCCTTCACCCACATCTTCCCTTACTTCTAAGAAAGATGAATCTGTTTAATCTCAGGCTCCATGACAGCTTTTGAGGTATTCAATCAGTTTTTTTAGAACCTATCACAGTCTCTTGACAGATTGACATTTATGATACTAACAGCCTGTGCAAACATCAGTAAGAGCAATAATTAATGAACCCTCACACATCACTGCTGTGTCCTTTGACCATTTAAAAGGAGCGTAAGTTGTTAAAACCTCTGTCCACAAAAAGCATTACTCTCTCACTGGAAAAACTGATAAGAGACTTGAAGAAACCTGCTTTACAGTCACTTTGTCTCTGTGTTTCTCCCCATGCTCTGCTTTCAGAGTGTATACAGGGATTAGATTCAGCCTCTCCTGGCATTTTACTCTGCGTGCCATGAAAGACTTCAGGACAGAAAACTCATCATTACCCGTTTAAAAATCTATTCTACTGGAATTTTCCTTCTTTCTTATCTTCCTAATGGCCCTAGAACAATTTTGAAATAATATCTGTTAAAAAGCTATTACATGGACAGAGAAAGAAGTTCAAGTCTTTAGAAGAGACTGATTGTTAAAAT